GCGAGTGCATCAGCGGCAGTTACTAAGGCATCATCATTGAGGACCGCATCAGCATCATTATCGGTAGCTGGGGTTGGTGGCATGGTAGTTGGTGGCTTGAGCAGGACGTAGTCAAGATCAAGTTGCTCGAAGAATATCAGGATTCTTTGGGACCACCTTCTATAATTCTTTCCATCAAGTGCATCGAACTTGGAAAGATCGGGTATCAGTTTGCTTAAAGGTGTTGACATGATTGCAGTATATAGAATTCTTTTCTAAATTACTGTTTATATTTCCAGTCAGTGCTAACGGTGTAGTTTTGCAATTCATATATCCAACAAACACTACTAAGTGCAAAGTTATCATCTGGCGTCCTGTGAATTTCATCGTCCAACAATAACAAATTCTGGTGTCCTTCGTAATTATTGGGCCTCTCCATGACAGTTGGATTATTCTCTCTAACAAATTCGTCCTTTTCAGCTCTATGTAGTCTCGATCTAAAGTCAACACTCAACCTACTGTAATGTATCTAAAACTCGAACATGGTCAAGTACAAAGACAATAGAATTGGGGTAAAAGTGTCGACGATGTGGAGACAAAAGTGTAAAAACCCCAATTAAACCCCTTTATTACATCATGAACTATAATATGAAAAATGCAATGCAATTTAACAACTAAGATGCAATAATTCACCTAAGGTTGTACAAAAACCTAGACCTAAAGATGCAAATATAACTCCTACTAGAGAGTTATCAATCTCTATGTTGGTCGCCTTGTTTCCACCAGGGTCGGCCCTGAGCATAGGCCAGGGGGCGACCGCCTAGGGCCCCAAGTTTGGAGTGGCCCATTTTTAAAAATATTTTTAAGTTTAATAATTAAAAAATATTTTTAAATATATTTTTTTATTTCAAACACTAGAAAATATGGTAATTCAGTAGGCCCTAATAATTAAAAAATATCTTTAAACATCATTTTTTATTAAAAAAATCGAAAACATGATAATCCAGTGGGCTCCATTTTAATGATTGGAAGGGAAATTAAGTGTTGCCCCCATTTATCTTCTTATCATCACCTCCTAACCTAGGGCCCTTAAAATATCATGACTGGGCCTGGTTTCCACAATACGAGATGCTTTTCGTTGGTTGCCTTTTTTGCACAATGCAATAATGTCCAGTTGATTACTGTGTCGAGATGCTTTTGATTGAGTTACTTGTATTGAGATGTCACTTTATGAGATGCCTTTTATCGTACTATGTGAGATGACTTCATAGACTACTCCACTGTTGAATGTCGGTACGGTAGTTGCTCCGTAGATATGCCTCTTTAGAGATATCTTCACTAGTATAACATTAAGATGTCTTTGTTAAAATGCTTTCACATGTACAACGTCAAGATAATCGGTAGCATCTGTGATTTTACTTATCGTAACATAGACACCTCTATTACAACTATTTCTCGTGTAGTATTTGAGATTTTGTTTTCTACAATGTTGATACCTATGCTATTATCATTTCCCCAATACCTCTGTTGTGATTGCTCCTCATGTGGTGTTCATGGTTTCACCAGATACAGATGCCTGTATTAACGTGGGAGTGAGATGCTCTCCGATTGTAGGGTTGAGATCTTTCCTTGTGTAATTCATTCATTCAACAATATGATATGTTTTAGCAATCTGGCATGTTGATCCATCCACCCTCATAATTCTTGACAACATAATATGTTATGTTGAATCTGACATGGTAGATCCTTCTTTTATTATTATTCTTCAAGAACGTAGAATGAATCGTTGATGTCTTCCATGTGTCATAGAATCATCTACTTATATATTATGTTTCGATTGTCTATTTCTAAAACCACTCGAGCTAAAATAAAGTTGGCGCACAAGATATTGCCTAGGAAAAGGCCATTGTATGATCTTTCCTCAACTAAAGAGAGGCAATGGTTAGGATTTCTTTCGCGTATAAATGGTTACTTGTAAGGCACTTAGCCATTTTTTTAAGTAGTGACGAGAACCCTTCCTACAATGTTAGGTTAATGAAACAACTACTAAGGCGTTAAGTCGATTGTGTCAAGGCATGTAGCTCTTCACTCGACCTATAAAGCTAGAATTCCCGGAAAATTTTCAAAAGTTCTTAAGAGAAGCTTAACACAAATACAATACGAGAACTAAGTGGCACAACTCTTCACCTAAATTAGAAGGGGTGAATCGTACATCACAACTGCTCCTTCATCAAGATTCCATCAACAAAAAATCCTAGTGAAAAGAAAAAAAATATCAAATAATGTCATTGTTTAACATTTTCTCGATTATGAAGACAAACACTATATATGTAATAAACAACGTGTCAGCATGACCTATCAGAGTATCATCAGTCAACATCCCAACTAACCACACCCGATATTATGGCTCTGGGTGCAAGACGATAATCTCCCACCCTTTCTTCCCCCAATAAAAAAAGTATCCTCATATTCATCGGGGGATTCGTACCTTCTTTCTTCTACCCCTAAAAGTTTGATCATTATAGGTCTCTTAGAATATCTACTGCATTTGAATCATCATAACTAAGGATTCTTTATCCAAATTAGAAGAGATAAACTATCACTTATGTTCACAACTACCCTCCCTTATTGTACCTCAACACGGTTTGTCTTAATTAATTCAAATATTACTTTTTCAAGGACTAAGACTACAAGATTGGGGATTTGTTTCCGTGAGACATGATTTATGGGGTATGAAGGATTTGAAAAGGAAAAAAGGTGATATATGTTTATGGTTGAATTTCAATTTTGCAAAACTATAGGGTATCAAACAACAAAATAATGTAGAAAAAAAGGTGTTATAAAATCAACAAGTTGGCCATCACCTTCCCAATTAATCTAAAGCAAAATTTCTTTTATGGTTGAGCTAGTGTGACATTTCACCCACAATCTTGTTTCTATAATCCCAAAAGCAAAATCATGTCAACAAATCGTGGTCCCACAAATCCATCAAGCATGCCCTGGCCTGGTTTAAGCTTTCAAAGTCTTTATATTATGTTTTAGATCATGCATATTATATCACTGTCTAATGGGTATTGGTTAAAATGATATAATAATCCGAAAAAGTAATCCATTAAATATAATTTTTAAAATAATAATTAAATAATTTTAACTAGAGTGCTTGTAAACACCAATTAACTAAACATCAAAAGCCAAATTGATTTTAATGATATTGTTAAATAGGGTAATTAAATTCTGATTAACTAACTAGATAGCTTTGGGTGATGGGTTGAAAACTTGAAACATTTTACACCTCTATTCTTGGGAGTCGACTTCCCATAGACTACCTTTTTTATTTGGTTTTCTTGGCCTATATTCAAAATCAAAATACATGACTCTTGGGTATAATGAGAGATAGCAACATGTCAGGTTAGATTAAGTTATTTGTGAACTAGATCTGAACTTAAAAATATACTCTCCATTAAATATGATATGATCCTAGAATCATATACTCTTCACCCGACTCAAAGAAAATTTTCTCTCTACTCGAACCTGATTCAAATTGAATTTTTGAAGTATTAATATGATCCGATTCGACGTAATATAAGGACATGATTAAAAACTTATAGAGAAAGAGAGTATTATAACAATTATTCTTAAATTTATAAGAAAAAGTTACATTATTACCTCGTGTCAAGTTAGATCAAAGATTTTTCATCATCCACTCAAACTCGATTAGACTCGACCTAATCTAAACCCATTTTAAAAAAAATAACTTTATTAAGTTAATTCGAGTCAAAATCTATCAATTTGGAGTTAAACTACTATATCTAAATATAATATACATGAAATGGAAGGTATAGGAAATTGAATAGGTTGTCCTGAAGCATGGTCTTGAGTAGGAACAAATAGTCCAAAGCAAGCAATTCCCCTAATGATTGTTGAACGAAATCGAGGAAGACAAAGAAGAAACAATACATGGGAATATCTCTACAGCAAATCAAATGCATAGGCAGAGCCAACCTTCACATTGGAGAAACAAATAACAACATGATAAGACTACTAACCTATCCTCACCTGATCACCTCAGCTACCATAGCTTCGTATTTTGCTGTCCCTTAAAAAATAAAAAACCCAAAGATAAGGACAAAACCGGCAACCTTATACAAAACAATCTCTCATTTCAACCATTAATCCAATAAAAATGTATAAACTATTGGATGATACAAGGAGTGTGGGGGGAATGGGGAAAAAAAAGGAAGGAAAGCCAAGGTGCATGCCATATCCCTAGGGAAGGGTAGATTATGGTAATGGAATATATTATAATGACAAATTGATAGTGTGGGATATAGTGTAAATAGTATAGAAAAGGGGAAAAAGTAGGAATTTTTGCAGGGTTTTGTGAGGGATTAGGAGGCAAAGGATGTGAATGTTTTGGGTTGATGATGGTGGGTTTGATGCTGCCCATGCACGCCGGCAGCTTTTACGCCTTTCTCTCTCCCACTTTCTAACCCATCTCGCACGCCTACCCTCTATACCATTTTTATTTTTAATAATCTACGATAGAGATAAAATTTTATCTTAAATAATTAGCTGATCCTTATTTTCATATGTAATTTGGTAAGGGGATAAAGGGAGGTAAGATAGTAGGCTGCCCCAACGCCAGGTTGAGAGCAGCTTCCATGGGAGACCTCCAAATTATAAAATGCCCTCCATACAATTCTTTACATATTATTATTTGAATCCAAAGTTTTTAAAAAAATTAATATTTCATTTTATCACATAGATTAATTAAAGAATTTACTCTCTATATCAATTCTTCATTCTCTTTCTCCCTCAATAAAATATACACACAAAAAATAATATAACATGATAGTTATATAATAACTTATATATATATATATATATATACCTATTCAACTAACCAAATGTTAATAGAAAAAATTTATATTAGTCAATTCGTCCACGAATTTTTTATAAAAGAATGAAAATGAAATTAGAAAGCATACCTAAGAGAATAAGCTATGGTAGAAAAGAACCCTCGGCCACTAATCGGCCATCTCCATTTTCTTTTCATCGATTACACAAAAAGAAAAGCATAATTTTGACTGTCACGACATACATTCCCAGTCCTTTACTTTTCTTATTAAGTAGTTATCTAATTGTGTTGGCCAAAACCCAATTAGTAAAATCATAGTTTTAAGGTCTCCATTCCTTCAATCATGTTGTAGTATACTGCTAGGAAAAAAAAACATAAGCAGCTCACTGCTCACCCCCATCTCTTCAAACCTTTTCGCTTTCCCCACAACTTGAATCCAAAGTTCATTGATGTGGATCTGTTTGGTGTTGGATTTAGATGGATACCTTGTTTAGACTTGTGAGTCTTCAACCATCGGACCAATCTTTCAACTCTAGTAGAACATCCAGCAGCTCTAGATCATCCAGACAAAACAATCATTACCAACAAGAAGACGAAGAATGCTTCAACGTTTTCATGGATGAAGAAGACTTCTCTTCGTCTTCTTCCAAGAATTACTACCCTTATTATCATTATCATCAACAATATCAGCCCCACCCTTCCACCACCGTCGCCACTCCCACAAACACCTCCACCCCCACCACCACCACCACCACTCACCATGCTATTGACTCGTCTGATTACTCCACCACTACTTTTTCCCCCGCTCATAACATGAACAACTTCGATTTCTCCGGAAAGTGGGCTTCCGATATCCTATTGAAGACGGCTGCCGCTATCGCCGATCGGAACAGCGGACGGGTTCAACAGCTGATATGGATGCTCAACGAGCTCGGATCACCTTACGGGGACACCGATCAGAAACTGGCTTCTTATTTTCTTCAAGCTTTGTTCAGCCGCATGACTGACTCCGGCGAGCGTTGCTATCGGACGTTGGCCTCTGTCTCTGAGAAAACAAGTTCTTTCGAGTCGACGAGGAAGATGGTATTGAAGTTCCAAGAGGTAAGCCCTTGGACAACTTTTGGTCACGTTGCTTGTAATGGTGCAATCATGGAAGCTTTGGAAGGTGAAAGCAAATTACATATAATTGATATTAGTAACACTTATTGCACTCAATGGCCTACTTTGCTTGAAGCCATAGCAACCCGTAGCGATGAAACCCCGAATCTACGGCTAACCACGATCGTCACTAGCAAAAACGGTGGAGTTTCAGGCTCATCACAGGGCTTAGCTACCGTCCAAGAGGTAATGAAAGAAATAAGGAAAAGAATGGAAAAATTCGCCAGGCTTATGGGAGTTCCCTTTAAATTCAATGTCATACACCATGCTGGCGATTTATGTGAATTAGATTTATCAGAGCTTGGTATCGAAGAAGATGAAGCCTTGGCCATCAACTGTGTTGGCACTTTACATTCAATCACGACCGTCGATAATCGTAGAGATATAGTGATATCGAATTTCAGGAGATTGCAGCCAAGGATAATCACGGTAGTTGAAGAAGAAGCAGACCTTGATGTTGGGGTTGATGGGGTTGATTTCGTTAAGGGTTTCCAAGAGTGTTTGAGATGGTTTAGACTTTACTTTGAAGCCTTGGACGAGTGTTTCAATAGAACAAGCAACGAAAGATTGATGCTTGAACGAGCGGCCGGTCGAACTATCGTTGACTTGGTGGCTTGTCCGCCGTCCGAGTCCATCGAGAGACGCGAACCGGCCACCCACTGGTCCAGACGGTTCCATGCAAGTGGGTTCAGCCCCGTGGCTTTGAGTCATGAAGTGTGCGACGATGTACGCGCCTTGTTGAGAAGGTACAAGGAAGGTTGGTCAATGGCACAGTGCCCCGACGCCGGAATATTCTTGTCTTGGAAGGATCAGGTGGTGGTGTGGGCCGGTGCATGGCGGCCTTGATGACGGCCCTAGGCGTTTTCAGTTTAGTGCATGGGGGAGTGGTTCACACATGTGTTGTGTTTTTCTCGTACGTGTAATGTGGATTGGCGTATTTTATGTGGTGTTGGCTACATATTAATTTGTGTTTTTTGTTTGATGAGAAAAGAAGGGAGATAGAAAGGTGGGGCCGTGGGGGAGTTACTAAGAATTTGCTTTTGATTTTCAATAGGATGGTATGGGGAGTAATTAAATTGATTTCACAAATCATAATTAATCTATGTTTTTTTTTATTTTGTGATTATTTTTATTATATGTAAAATTAGGGTTATTGAGTTTTGATAATCATCAAATGAATATGTTTAACTTTTTTTTATCTAATTTAATGTTTATTTTAATAATTTGAGGTGATTATAAGATAATATTTGTTTATAATATTTTTTAATTTACATAATTTACAAATATAGTTGTTCAAACTCAAGACTTTGAAAGAGAATAATAATATATTTAATCATTAAGATCATTTAATTGGTTCAAATGGATAAGTTGAAAGCTCATGTTAGTTGATAATGAGTTTTCCTATCAACAACCAAAACTTAATTTGACCCGTTTTGGCCTGCTGAAATTGTCCCAAAGAAGAAGCAATTTTCTTTTTTCTTTTTCTTTTTTTAAAAAACGACAATAAAAAAATTCTTAGTCTAAACATAATGGTGTTGGACTAAATAAATAAACATAGCCGAATAATATTTTATATATAAAAATAAATAGTTAGCAAATAGGTCCAAATTTGAAATGGGGTTGGTATTTGGTGTAAAAGCGTGATATCAGCTTACGGAAATTAATTATTTTTAATAATAAAAAAGTGTTTAAAATTATAAATTAGAACAACTTCACAGATAGTTATTCAGTTTTCACAAGTTTTCATTTTGGTCACTAAAAAATATAAATTAGTCACCGCCATTGGACTTTCTAATCCTTCTTTATATTTTCTCTATTTTTATTTTAGTCACTCAGTTTAATTGCTAATGAAGAGTGAAAAAATTGAAGAGAAAATGCTCTCCATCTAAGGAAGTTACCAATAAAGTCATCTCCAAAAAAAATTGGTTATTAGATTTAAAATTCTAAAAGACATAGAAATTATGTTATTGAGTGAGAAAATTATTTTAATTATTAGTTTGGGTGAAAATTTTCATACGAAACTATCGTTATACCTAAATTTAATGCAAGTGACTAAAATGTTAATAAAATTTAAAGTGAATGATTAAAATGAAAATAATGTTTACAAAATTTGATGAGATTGACTAAATTAAAAATAAAAAACGTGAGTTGATAAAATAAAAGAAATATATCGATAGTGACTAAAATGCAAACCATATATAACAAAAATAACTAATTTGCAAATATTTTATTTTTATGACCAAAATAAAAGTTTATAGAAGTTGAGTGATCATCTATATAGTTTACCCTATTAAATATCCTTCCATAAGAATGGTCTCTATCTAGTTAGTTTCTTTGGGGGGGGGCCTAGAGTCATAGGACGGCCATTGGTTAGGGGATTTGGATTCCAATTGTGGGATATTTTATAAAAAGGTGTTGCAGCATTAATTGAACTAAATTTAGATCCTTTTTCTTTTATTTATTACAATTATAAAACAAATTAAACCATTTGTATTTCTCCTTTTCACTTTAACCCTAAGAAAGGGAAAACATTGTTTGGTTTTTCACATAAAATCTACAAAAATGCATTCATGATGGTGTGATAATGTTACAAAGTTGTATTTTTTACACGAATCAAGCGACTTCAGTTTTAATAAATTTATTATTATTTTTTGAGATCTCATGTTCGAGCACTGTATAAATAGGGATATAACATTTATTGTTAAAAGGTTGAGAGTCTTTAAACATATAATATATTATATTTACCCCAATTTTATAGAAAAAAATTTACTTTTTGGCCCACACAAAAACAAAAAAGAAGCAAATGAAAATGAACATGTACAGTGGGGGAGCTTTTTTTAGATGGTTCGCATCTTAATCTTCGTATGTCTTTTTTAAATTCATCTTATCTTAAATTTTCTTTTAAAATCTTTTTCACTACTTTTCTAAATATCTCTTCTCATTATTTTTCTTTTAAAGCCGATAAAAATAATAATAATTTATAGAGTAAAGTATAGATTCCGACTATAAGACACTACTTTATTGAGTTCATTGACTATTAAAAGTTATAAATTGCCTTTCAACTATAAGACATTACTTTGATTAGTCCTCTAACTATTGAAAATTATGAAATAATCATCGGACTATTCCTATATTCCAAACTTATCATTTTTTGTTAAAAAAATCATGGCAGTCTGAGTTGGACGTTAATCTATTGATTAAGATATGATAAAGTATGATATCAGAATCTCAAAAAACTGTATGACTCAAATAGTTCTAAGATCAAATTTTATCATATCCTAGTTAACAGGTTAACGTCCACTCATACAACTGTCAATTTTTTAATTAAAAAAGACGAATTTCGATTGTGTGAATAATCAGATGACTATTTTATAACTTTTAATAGACGAATTAAAAAATACCCTATAATCCGAACATCATTTGCATGTGCTTTACGTTTGTGGGGATTTTCCCTCAAGAGTCGGTCCATATGTGGTTGTTCATTATGCTTAATTTAAGCTTTGAAAAATTATTTTACGTCATTGACAAATAACCAGCTAGCTAATCTATATTGGGAGTTGAAGTTGGAAGACAATTAATTAATGTTAACAAAAAGATTATTCAGACAAATTTCCTGGAACTTTAGTTGTCTTTTGCCCTTATTTATATATGTAATAGGTTCGAGTAAAAAAGTCCTATTTTTTTAAAAATAATAGGCTCCTTTAAATGTATAAAAATATCATTTTAAAATGTAAACAAGTTTACCTTGTTTCACAGGCAATTCCCATGTCTCCCAAAGCATGAGTTGGTAAAACTTGAGACCTAAGCAAAATGGGGCTGAGAAACATAGACCTTTTGCAGAGCGCTCATATATCAAATGAAACTGTAAAACCCGAGTCTCAACAAAATAGTATTTTTTCCCCTTTGCACCACTTATCATTCTCCATAGCTAATATGAACATGTCACCTACTGTTGGAAAATTTGTAAGTGAACTGAAGTGTGCAAAAGATTGACCTTGTACACTGAATTACTGAGGTGTCTAAGCTAAAAAAATCTCGACACAAGGATTCGAAACAGTGAAAGAATAGGTGAAGAGCTTTAACATACAATACACTAGAACCGTGTATTAGAATTGAAGAAAAATAAGCCACTCATTTCGGTACCCTCCAACTCAAGGGAAGTCTCCACTTCCGATGCCAGTATATCGATACCCTTGGCCATGATGGGAATCCAAAATTGAACTCAAGGGGCCGATCAGGAAGTCCGCCAACTATTAGAGGTAGCCACACATACCTTGAGTCCCTCAACTCAACTGGATTCCACCGATCCGCCATAAAAATATATGAACCTGGAATGCCTGGCAAAGGAATCACAAATGTACTCTGTGCCAAAAAAGTTGCAAGTCGAAACATTTTGTTCCCTCCAATGCATGGGTTTCCCATTGTCTCCCATGGCCCCATGATCGACTCAGCTGCATGTGCCACTGCTTCATTCGGTGCCCATCCAGAGCAACCCGATGTGATCATATAATAAGTCCCTTGGTACTTAAAAAGAGCTGGGGCTTCCCGGCGTTGTCCAACCATAATCCTTTGCATTTCAGGCTGCACATCTAGATAATCATCAGTTAGTGGTCCAACGTGAAGTTCACTATTGTTCTGAGATGAATAAATTAGATATGCTACACCATCATCGTCCTTGAAGATGGTCATGTCCCTGCTGTCAAATCCATGGGGCCTTTGGCTGTGGAGATACTTAAAAGGACCTGTCGGGTATTCGCTGATAGCAATGCCGACAGCAGCTTTAGTGTAGTTGGCATCATCAATATGCATCCACATTACATACTTACCTGTCTTCTCATTGTAAACAACTTTTGGCCGCTCCAACACATTGGATTTGTGGAGATCATGGGTTTCATTTTTCTGTTCTGCAGGCAACACAATACCTTGGTTTTTCCAAGTCCACAAATCTTTGGAAGAATAGCAACCAACTCCTATAACGTCAACCTGATTAAAAATATTCAAAGGGAACTTCTTATAACTAAAGATTTAGATATGCACTCAAATTTCAAGCCTGAAGGATGAGATAGGTGCTAAAAATGAGTTAGATATGCAATCAAATGTCGTGTATCTCAAGCATCACTTCACCTTACAAAGAGATTGATAAAGATGACAACTTTGTTGCCTCACAATTCATGCTTTAAGTTCAGTAGAGCGAGTTTCTTATAGTTAGATAAAATGGAGTGGCATCAATCAACCAATAAACTGAACAAATGCCAAAGAAAAAGCAATCAAATTCGATGCCTATCAATCTAAATACAAAACAGTTCATAACTTTACAACTTGCATTTAGGCAACCAAGGCCAATATACCCTTCACATATTAGGTGGCCTTTATAAGTGAAATTATAAATCGTTTATGTAATTCTCAGTCTTTTTCACAGAGTTTTCTTCTAATAAGTCTGTCTCATCCTTTTTTCGTCTTTGTTCTATGAATGCAAGCAATAATATATTCTTGACTGAGAGAACCAATATAATAAACTTGGATATATTCAAAACAATGAACTTACTCTTGCTGCACCCTTCTTATGTGCACGGTACGTGGGTCCATCTTTGTATTCTCCATACCAGTAGTATGTAGCAGATCTTTCATCATATAGTATACCACCTCCATGAGCTTGAATAGGATTTCCTTCTGTATCCAACCAAATTTTCCCTGGATGGTAGTAGTGGCTTTCATTCCCTGCTGCCTTCACAGGATATATAGCAGTTTTCATATCTGGAAAGAATACATGCCGAAGCTGGGAATTCTCATCAAGGAATTCATTAACCAGGGCACTATTTCGCTTGTGTCTCCATTTAGACGCATGTGGAGATCGTTTCTTCCTAACAGGGGGGACCTGAATTTTCTCCTCTTCCACCTGTTCAAGTTCCCGGACTGGATGACGATTCACACGGAATTGGATATCCCCTTTCACTGCACTTCTGTGGGTAGCAAGAGAGTAGAGTTGAAGCATAAGAAGGAACCCCACCAAGCTCCACACAACAGCAGACTTCGAGCATCTGTACCCTGCATCGCGGAGGAAAGCAATTGGTTTCCTGTATTTGTATTGTTCCTCACGCTCATACTCCCTTTCTTTCTTTCATCTCCCAGATAACGCTGCAGTTAGGAAAAATGCAACACACGTAGATCCAAAAAAATATGGATCGAATATGAATTACAACCATACTCATCTTCTCTTATCTCTTAAATCCATCAAAATTTGAGTACAACAAACTCTAAACCAACACTTTTGATTGGCTAGAATAGATTGAGAATCAACAGCATCCTAGAGCAGAACATTGTCAAAATGCAATCCTTTAGGATTGGAATAGACAATTATCAACTCCTAATCCGAAAGGAAAAGACATCAACTTGAAATAACACGTGGATGTTAGCATTACGTTTACCATCTTTTGGGTATGCGCAATATACTAATCTTAAAACACCTTTGATACAGTTTGACAAAAAATAGACAAACAACATATTTAAGTTCAGTATCAAATATCAATGCACAAACACAAGATTATAACATCGTTATAAGCTCAGAAATTATCAAACTTTCAAACAATCAACTTTAAATATAAACGCCAAAAGCCCAAAACCAATATAGCAGATCCACAGAACACGCAAAAAATGAAGTTAGCAGAGAAATTTTAATATCCATACAAAGAATAAAACTGACCTGACAAAAGTCTAGGAAAATTCCCAGTCCCAGATATGGGCATCTCTACTTAATCCTCTCTTCGAAGTTTCAGCAAATGATAGATAAAAAGAAAACCCCCAACTTCACAGGGTTCCTAAATACAACGGAAAACAGTAAAGGAGTAAAATTTGTCAAGAAGAAGTAAGGAAAAGTATGGTAATTTAAATTAAGATCTAAAGAAGGTTTCTGTGAAGATGATTATGACTTCTGAATAAATCTTTCTTTCTTTCTTGCATCTATTTTGGTTCTGAGTTTTGGACTTGAGCTTCGGTTGTGTCTTTTTTACTCTTTCCTATGACTTCGTTTCTACTTTCCACACAAATCCCTGATTCAGATCAGAGGTTAGATTTTTAATGATTTTTTTAACATTTTGTTTTTGCAAATGATGATTTTATTGATTGTGTGGATATGATTATATGTTTTTATATCTAATTTTCAAGAAATAATAAGGCCCTTTACTATGTTTTTTATATGTAATGAGACCCTTTAATATTTTATAATTGTTAAGATTTCTATGCACCCAATGACACTATGACAGTTTGAAAGTTGAAAACTTTGACCATTTTAGCGGCTAAGACCTAAAAAAGCTGTCCATTTTTCACTATTTGCCTTTTATTTTAAAAATATAGTAAAAGGGAAAATATTTAGCAATAAAATTTAAAAATATTGTAGGCTGAACTTTTTTTAAAAAAAAAATTATAAGAGTTTGAAAATTATTTTAATATTTAAATTATTTATTTTAATATGAGTGGAATTCGTCATGAATGAATGATGAGTTTTATAAAATATATTAAAAAGTAGAATTCATTATATGTATTAAAAGAAAATTGTATGAAATTCAATATGTCTTTATGACGAGTTTCAATTATTTATCATATTTTATGAAATTAGTCAATTTTATTGACGAGTTCTACATATATCATAATAAATGACTTACATCATAAAATAATTTTTAAATATATGTAATTTTCAATTTTTTTACTTGAATTATTTGGCCAACTAAATCAAATGTTGAGACCATTTCCTCGTGACGTCTTCCATATAACTTTCATTTATTTATTTAATTGTTTTTGATGAATCAATTTCAATTTTTTTAATCTATTTTATGATAGAATGATTTTACAATAAATATAATATATCGATATATATATTATTAATGTTAAATATCAATATATATATATATATTATTAATATAAGATATATAAATTTAATTATTATTAAATGACCATGCTATTATAATCATTAGATCAATTAAAGTTGATAATTGAATGTATTTTTATAAAGTTGATAAGAAAGTCTAAAAATATCATTTTTTTCAAAATATCATATTCCAAAATACTAAAAAGTAATTAATACATTTAAAAAAAGTATTGATTGTCTTACAAAATTATTGTTTTAATGATTTGTTTAAATAGAATATTATTTGGAAATGTTATACCGACAAATGAGCAAAGTCATAATCATACTAACAAGTTACGATGTAATGAATATTATTAATGGTTACGTGGTTTTGATAACCTTTTTTTTCTTTTACAAAGAGAGGGAAAGGGATTATTTGGAAATTGAACATGTTATCTAATATCAATTAATATTTAAAACGGTATTTCTTACAATGTTTCATGTCTGCTATTTTCAAATAGGCAAAACCGAAATTTTTGCTTTATAATAGACTCAATTTATATTTTCATCCCTATCGTATTTCTGCATCAATTTAACTTTCGAAGTTATTTAATTGTATCATTTTTACTCTATTCTTCACTTAAAACCTTCAATTTAGGGTTTTAAGATATAAATTGAGGTTTAAGGTTTAAGATTAGAGGCTATAGGGTCATGTTTTAGGGTTTAGAGTGGTCAATTTAGGGTTTTAAGTTAGGGTAGAGTGTATAATGATGCAATTCAACAAATTTGGGGACTAAATTGATGCGAAAATATGATAGGGGTAAATTAACCACTCTAAATTGACCACTCTAAACCCTAAAACCTTTCAAATATTAGTATATAATTAATTTTAGACCATCAAACAATCACTTTATAACATAATTTTCTATTCGATATAAATGATTTAAACATGCATATCTATTATTAGATGTAATTGTTAACATTTTAAATTATCACCAAGTGATCATTTTGCTCATGTTTCTAACTAATGGGAGCATTTTTGCTCATTTTATATATATAAGGATTAAAATGCAATTCGCACAAAAACCTAAAATATGAGAACTATATTAGTGTATTTGCAAATTTTGTCTAGTAAATTTAATGTATTAATATTTTAATGGAATTTATTCGTATACAACCCTAATTTTTTGGTTATATGTTAAATTTTTGGGGTAAATTAAAAATTTATTACTGAATTTTACTTTCTCCTATTTTACTTACTAGACTTTAAAAAATTTCAATTTCCTCACTAAACTTAGTACATTAGGTTTTTTGTCACTAAACTTTACTCTCTCACCCATTTTTGGTCACCACGTCGTTAAATAGTTAACAACGTTAAAAATGATGTCGTTTTAAAAAAATAAAATTTTCACCAAAATGATATTGTTTTACATCTATATAACAACCCATTTTAATGCTATTAACTATTTAACATCTAAATGACAAAAAACGTAATGTATTAAGTTTAGTAAGGAAATTGAAAAGATTTAAAGTACAGTCAATAAAATAAGAGAGAGATTAAAGTTCAGTTATCAAATTTTCAATTTACCCATATTTTTGCTAAGCCTACATTTTTAAACTGGATTACACAACAGAGCTTGCGGTCTTTTAAACTGCAAGTAAAACAGCCAACAAAATCCAAACTGTCAATTAATTCCATCATCCCCACTCTCAACGGCTCAGATTTATCACCACCCATTTTTAAAATTCAACTTGGCTTCCTTTCACTCTTCTAATTGATTTGTTGTATTTCCATTTTTTTATGGTAGTTAGTATCATAATTTAGTATTTTAGTTATTTTTATATTATTTATGAGGGAGGGGAAGGAAGGACTGAGAGAGATCTCTGGGCGCCTTTTATCTATTTCATAATTGACCAAAAAGCTCTTTGATTTTTAGCTTGGCATCTTTGCTTCTGTTTCTCCTTGAATTTCAAAATGGGTTTGTGGGAAGCTTTTCTCAATTGGCTTCGAAGGTATGAGCTCTTTTCTCTCCCTTTTTTCAGAATTACGATTTAGATGGAGTTGTGTTTTATGTATTTAAGCTAAATTTTCATTTTTTGCATCCTTTTAGCTGTGTGTTTGACATTGGGCTAGAATAAAGAAATGATTTTTCCAGCCTTTGCTTGATACTGTTGTCAAATTTCTTCTTCAAGTGGTGTAGATTATGATAATATCACCTCGCAGACAAGGATGCCTTTGTTAAAAATTAGATGGTTTCTATGGCGAAATTCATTCATAGCCTAATAGGAAGTGGTATTCCTTATGATAAAGAAGTGCACTGACTTTAGAGTATCATGAGCCTTTTGAGCAATGTCCTATTCTGACTAGTTTGAAGGTTCTCTTAGTTTGTCTTTCACTGGCTTGAGCAAGTTTAGTTATGTGATTCATCAAAGTTGATTTTATATCCATATATATATATTTGGAATTCCAGCTTAAGTTGCAAATGCTTTTTCGATTTTATGAGACTTAAGGAATGGTTTGTTCATCGACTGTTTTCTATCTGCTGGGAGGTTTTTCTTTTTAGCAAATTGGAGTTAACATACTTTTCAGACGGTTTTATATGAATTTCTTTTTCGGAACAATCTTTAAACAAACAAATGGTGCAAAAGTTCAACCTTCATAGTATTGAGGTTCACTTTTCATACATGTTTTGCAGCCTGTTTTTCAAGCAGGAAATGGAGCTATCTTTGATAGGACTTCAGAATGCTGGAAAAACCTCATTAGTAAATGTTGTCGCGGTAAGTAAACTAAAATCTCACTTATAAATGCAGTAGCAGCATACGCAGGATCCATTACTAGCTATCTAAGCACATGTTTCTTTATATTACTTTGTGAATTGACTTTAAGTTGGTTGCTTGTCCTTTTCCCCAGACTGGTGGATATAGTGAAGACATGATCCCTACGGTGAGTCATATCATCTAAGTGGATTTGTATTAATTTTGTGAACTCACTGCAATGCTATTACATTCCAAAGCTTATATAATCCTTTTCTTTCTGTCATCCGAATGGCTTCTTTTCAGGTTGGATTCAACATGAGGAAAGTGACAAAAGGAAATGCTACGATCAAGTTATGGGATCTTGGAGGCCAACCAAGGTTTCGTAGCATGTGGGAACGATACTGCCGGGCAGTTTCTGCAATTGTGTAAGAAGCGACTACTTCAATTTCATAGACTCGTTCTTTGCAATAACTTTCTTATGTTTCCTTTGACAATGTCGGGGCAACAAAAGTTTTTCTGCTAAAAGGTTTGCCCATATCTGCTTTAGTAGCGAGCATTTTAAAGCTATCTTGTTAATATTATACAAAACCGACCAGTCCTTTATATCTATTCAGGGCAATGTCTTTGAAAACTGTAACTGACGAACTGAAGGCATCAATTCTATTTGGTATTAGAAAGGTTTATACATGATGCAAAAAGGTTATATAGGGGCTTGTGATAAAATTGTACCTACATACATGATAAAATATTAGTATTAGTTTTTTTTTCAAAAAAAATTATATATAAATTTTGCAGTATTTGATTGGCCTTCAGTTGCTTGCCATTGCACTTTCTGCTTCTCAAATTGTGAAATTGAATACCGCTCTTAGTATTGAATTGCTTGCACTGCTTTGTATATCTACTAGAATAAACCTGATTTTCTTGCAGTTATGTAGTGGATGCTGCTGACCCCGATAATCTGAGCATCTCAAGAAGTGAGCTTCATGATTTGTTGAGCAAACCCTCACTTAGTGGCATCCCTCTTCTGGTGCTAGGCAATAAAATTGACAAGCCAGGAGCTCTGCCAAAACCGGCTTTAACTGAAGAAATGTAAGAGAAACATTCATTCCACTTGCTTTGCTTAAAAAGTAAAAAACTGTCTCCTAACACGTAGCATTTCTAATGCAGGGGGCTCAAGTCAATTACTGATAGAGAAGTTTGCTGCTACATGATATTTTGAAAAAAATTCAACCAACATTGACTCGGTTATTAATTGGCTTGTAAAGCATTCGAAATCTAAAAGCTGAAAAAAGGGTTTTCTTTGATTAATCTTGTGATGAATCTGTGTTTTATAATTCGCGTTTCCGAAAGGGGTAAAATTTGTGTTCGAGAATTTCAGCTTTTGGTTTTCCCTAACTCGATCTTCTGATTGTTGAATTATTGCCTTCTCAATGTGTATTGTACATTGGATCATCACATTTGTAATTCGATTAGGATTTATCTTTCTCATAATTCGTAGCAATTGAAGAAGTTGAGCAAAAGTTAATCAAATTGATTCCAACACCACTCTTTGAACAAGAGGCAGTGTGAGAAGTTAATTGAAGTGGCCATTTGCCAACAATAACATTGCTACAACACCGTGCAAAACTGTAGTTCAATTTATTCAGATGGACTTTCAATAAAATAAAAGATAATATCTCAAGAGTGCCATTACAATGCCATCTCTATTTCTTTTGCCATATCTATATACCCTCTACTACAAGATAAAGCTATAGAATCACAAAAACCTCTAAGCTTCCCAGCAAATGTTCATCCAAAAAGAAGCACAAATTCATGGATTGATCTCACATTTTCTTCTTTACAAGCCTTATATATTTACAGTAATAGACATGATTCATAGTTGATATACCAGGCCAGCAAGATGTCAAGTCTGATGCAAGGTTCCAGCAACTAGCTAAGATGAAATGATGTCCTATACCATCTGCACAAGTTTGCAACTGATATCGATAAGATAAACAGCGAAAAGAACCACTAAATAGGGGCAAAAATCCTAAACAATTACATGTCACAATAGAGCTGTATTATTTGAGACCAAAGACAAAACTCACCCAAAAAAAGTAATGCATTGCTTCAGAAACTTTTCAACCATAGAGAAGAAAAGATTAAAATAGTCTCATAAATATAAGTAAAATAAAATTTGTTCAGCTGATGTTAAGTTGTGGTAAAGCTTTGTTGATTGACAGAGCTGCAGTTTCAAGGCGTAAATATCAGGAGTATGACTAGCTGTACTCTTGGTTAAGATCCAACCCTCTTAAACAACCAATAAAGAGCATCTTCTGAGAAACCCTGTGTTTCCAGATCTATGTACATTGTTCAATTGAAGAATATATAAGAACAAAGATTTACCAGGTAACTAGCATCCTAGACTTCAATGCTTTAGCTGCCGCTTTAGCAAAAATTTTTGCTGCTTCAGCTTCCGCGGCCTCTGCTTCTCTTGCAGCCTTTTCAGCCTCGGCAATAGCAACTTCTGCCTCTGCAACTGCTTGTGCGGCAGCCGCAGCAGCCTCTTCTGCAGTCATGCTCTTCATTCTTGATAACTCTGCATCAACTTGGGTTTTAGTAAGAATGTTGTTGATGTCCTTCTCTGCTTTTGTAGAATCCTTCTGCCTTCCTTCCAAAGCAAGCAGAGGAGTTTTTCTTGCTTCTGAAATAGTTGAATGTGGAGCAATCCTATACTTATGCTTTACCTATCAATATATGCATATCATAAAGATGAATCACTCCCAACTTATGAACATTCAACTTAAACCTTCTTTACAAACATGCTAATAACTTTCCAAAAGTACATCAGTAAAACCAACATAAATTTCACGCAATTCATAAGGAAAGTATTGATGCCATTGTATCCATTATGCAAGTAGATGCAACTGTTCCACCTTTCTTTCTTTAAATCCAATATTGCAAAAGTTCTGTGTGACGTGAGTACACAGAACATCATTTTCGGAAACATTAGCGGCTTTAAATTATTACCTAATATAAAGACTTCTATGACCCTATAACACTAATGTTGAATTTAACTTTTCCGGCATCAAGCTACATAATAGGCTAAACATTATATATACAATCAAGGAAGATTATACTATTATAAAATAGGGTTACACAAACAATTAACAGTATGATTACCTTTGTCAATGTCCCATTTGCTACCAGCAGCTTTAATTTTGTAGCCAAAAGCTTCTTGAGGTTTGGCTGTGAAGCATATTTCTCCTAAAATGTCAAATAAAAAAAAACAAACTCAAATTAGTTTAGATGTTTTAGGGAAGTCATTTGCAACAGTTTCTGAGCTGAGCTTCATGTATAAATGGTTGAAAATAGAAAGTACCTCTATGTATAAAGCAATTGAAGCTCTGTCAGAACCACCAGGCTCTCTCAAACTAGTGATAGCCTCTAATAAAATGTTTTCCAACCTACAAGAATCAGGAGGGCGTCAGGATTCGATATGCATGTACAAATCAGACTAGCGCCGCTCTCAACACAAAATTGTTTTGGCCAAAAATGACTGAAGGTCGTATAATTTTGGTTTTCATCAGCTAAAAGTAATTGATCTAAATCCCTAATCTAAGGAACTAACCAAATATTTGCATTTACAGCCAGTTTGAAATGAATCAACCTTGGAAATGTCTTGTCTTCTGCTTCTTTTCATGTTCTAATATCTGGCAGACAGGAACTCATATACTGAAGTTTAACTAGAAGTAAGTTTATCATGATATAAGATAATACATAAAAATAACCTTGAAATTGAATTTTTGGAGCCAGTTGCCCTTGGTGTTCCACTGGAAATGGCAAGGGGCTTAGGATCAACAATTTCTTCACTCGGAGGTACAGTAATAAGTGCCATGTGGTTATCATCATGTTTAGCAGCCATTTGATTTCTTTTAAGAGCAAGCTTGGCCTTCTGCCTTGACCCCCATATGGCCGTGGCATTTATATTTCTCCATTTGTCCTGATCATATCAACACTTTACACATTGTTTCACCCCTATGCATGACAGAACATTGGCAAATAAATATGCATACAGCTCATGTTCGAAAGTTTCGGATGCAATTAATAAAGACACTGTCCAAACACAGCAGATTTAGGTCATTAAACCAGAAAACGTGAAAACTCTTATTGTGATGATGATTGATGAATCCTACTCGAATCTCAGCAACATACCTTGAGATCCACGTTTGAGCGTGAACGCAAGACCGAACTAAACTCAGGATCCGAAAGTATATTGCGCCATTTTCCAGTTCCATGTTTGAGAACTCCTGCCTTGAGGGCTTCTTCTTCTTCTGCTGTCCATTTCTGCTTAGGGGCACCCATCAACAAGTTCCTGAAACCCCCAATATATGAAAATATATAAACATTTTAAATTGAAAAGATCAAGCACCAATACAGCAATTGTATATGCTTTCGTGCCTATTCATAAAGTTTAGACAACCAACAAAAAAACATTGAATCGAACAAAAGATAGGTGCAAAAAAAAATGCATGTAAACCATTTGAGGCCGCAATCTCATTAACACAGCGCATAGACACTTCTAGAAAGATATTTTCGCTGACATTTAGCAATCTCAGGCTCCAATTCTCAACCATTCTGAAATTCGTATGTTGCAAATTTCAGAATTTTACCAAAACGAGAGGTAAAATAAAGAAAATCAGCAGCAAAAACAGAAAAAATCCTAAATACAATCTAGTTTGAAAAATCAAGATAAAAATTTACAAAATTAAACCTGTTCTTAATCATCAAACAAAACTCAACCCATCACAACATGTAATCAAAACTAATAAATGATAGAACAATCATAAATCTTTAACTTCCAAGCAAACTCCAATAAAAAGCATATCCTGAAATATGCAAATTGTGAATATTTTAAATTTCCATAGATTGCATTCCCTTTTGTTTCGTCTCTACGAAAACAACGTTAACAAAAGCGAAGCAAAAAGAAATCAGATTAAGCATTCTCATTATAAGCTTAGAATTTGATGAAATTCATCAAGGATCGATTTATCTAGAGAATTTCGAACAAGATTAAAAAAAAACTTTTTACATTAAGCACTGAATTCTACAAATTTTAAAGCGAATAATTTAGGAGGAAAATGAAAAATGGAGTACCTGATCGGAGACACGCAGGAAGGGAGGAAGAGATCACGCGCGGAGTATAGGAATTTTGTTACGAAAACATTTCTTACAAAATAAAGGAGTGAATAAGAAAAAATAAAAAATAAAACATGTAAGAGAGATTGCTTTAATTTTATGTCGTAAGAATATTTAAATGGAAATGTTCTTCTTTTTTTACTTCTACTTAATTTATTTATTATTTCTATTTTATGTGTTATTTATTTTAGAGAAAATAACTTCAGTGATTAAAAATATCTTATAATATACGATTTTAACAATTTTTTTTTGAATTTACCAAAATGACCAATTAAATCGCAATGCAATCGATAATTCGCAATACGATTTTCGGTATCGCAAATCAGTTTCCATATTCGAAATGCGATTTTGGACTATCGCAATGCGAACTTGGACTATCGCAATGCGAATATGTAAATCGCAATGCGATAGTCGAAGTTCGCAATGCGAACGTGGACTATCGCAATGCGAATATGTAAATCGTAATGCGATAGTCGACTATCGCAATACGAACTTGGACTATACACGTATGAGACCACGACCACGACCCGACCACGACCCGACCCGACCCGAGACGAGACGAGACGGACGGCGGCGGCGGCGGCGCATGAGAGTCCCCCTTGTTCTCTATCACTCAACAAGGAAGTGGGAAGCCAATCCTTAAATACCATTCACAATAGTGTTTCTAATACTATGTGGGATTGAGCATTACCAACACTTGTTTCCAATACAATGTGATTATTCAGGAAACAATTAACAATCATGCACCTTAAAACAACTGAATCAACAACCAATTGCATTAGTATTATACGATTAAATATGTTATAATTAAATGTCAATCTACAATCAATCGCGATTATTGCAATTTTAAGCAAAACATTCAAAAATAATATCACTATTTAAGGCTCAATCTCACATAGCATTGGGAACAAGTGTTGGTAATGCTTAATCCCACATAGTATTAGAAACACTATTGGGAATGGTATTTAAGGCTTGGCTTTCCCACTTCCTTGTTGAGTGATAGAGAACAAGGGGACTCTCGCGCGCCGCCGCCGCCGCCGTCTCGTCTCGGGTCGTGTCGTGGTCGTGGTCGTGGTCGTGGTCGTGGTCATACGTGTCTTCGACACGTCCGCGCGAATACTATCTTTTTAAAGAAAATTCTTAAGAAACAAATGCAATACCACCAGTCGTTGCGATTTTGGACATTCATGCTTTTGTATAGTGTTTGCTTTTTCTCATTTTTTTTATTTTATATAAAATGTAATATATAACATATATTCTTATTCTTATTTTGATATTACGTTATGTTTGGTAAGTGTATTGTTATTTTTTATTAAACAAAAAATATTATATTTTAAGATTCAAACTTACACAAAATAAAATACATAATATAAACATCTTTGATATTGGATCAATTAATATATTATATATCTCTTGGTAGGTGTATTATTTATTTCTCTTATTTTAGTATACGAGTTAATAAAAAAGTAATTTCATTTGATAATATTGATCCATTCGCGTGCTTAGTTGAGACATATATTCACGGACGGCCATGAGATTCGATTCTGACGGGTTTTGACCCGATCCGATTTGATCGGGTTGATTTTTTTTTTAATTGGGTTCGGGTCTGGGTCGGGTTCGAGTTTATGATAAAAAAATACTTCAATCGATCCGAAAAAAATATAATTTTATTATATATATTTAGGAATAATTATAATAATACCCCTCTATATATTATTTTTTTCAATTTAAATCAATGTTTTTATTGAATAAACATAATATTTTTATATTACTTATTTTGTATATATTTTACTTCAAAAAATCAGGTCAGGTTCGGGTCGGATGGAGGGTATATATTTTTCGGGTCGGGTAAAGGATGTAAAATTTTCGAGTCAGGTCGGGTTAACTGAAACCTGACTCAAACCCGATCCACGCCCATCCCTACATATATTACTTATTATGTATAAGTTTATTTACATGGGTCTTATTTATCTTTTTAATTCTAAATTTAGATTTGTATTAATTTTTCTTTTTGTTATAATAAATAATTTTGCGATTTAAGTAATAGTTAATTTTTTTCCTTGTGTTAAGACTTATGTAACCAAATGTAGCCTCATATAATTTTAAAATTTAAAATGTGATCTTTATGCTTTATTTTTGTGAAAATTGAATCAATACATTATCTTTTTATTTTGAAAATCGTAGTTTATAATTTATATTTAACTTTATTATTAACTGATGACATAGTAATTGCAAAAAAAAAGTAACACTTTTACGCATACATTTCTGGTTTTTATCAATGACTCTCGATATTTAAAAGTATATTAAAAAATATTATTAATTGAATAATAATTTTTTAATTATCTATATTTACAATTTTTTAATAGTCAATTTGATTAAAAAAATTATAAATATATAGGGATAAAAAATTATTTTTATAATTGTCAGGACAACTGTTAATAGTAAATTAAATATAGTTTAGAAACTGGATCAAAATTTCAAATAAAAATAATACAAACTCAATTTTATAAAAGTAAAGTATAGAGATTAAATTTTAGAAATTATAGGGACCTTTCAGATATTTAAACCTTTAATATACATTACAAGTTCTTTTCTTACGAGGAACTTTTTATAATACAAATAGAAGCCACTAATTTATTGAAAAGGATGGACTATTTAAAATTATAATGAATATAATTTGTACATATTCTTATAATAATTAATATATTAAATTAGTTAATTGAGATCATACAAGGAAAATGTAAAAAGTTCATTTAAGAAATTTGAACAAAAATAAATACGAACATATCTGATTGCATCGACAAACAAACAATAACAGGGAATCAAATTATTGAAAGATCACTGACAGTTGCAAACCAGATTTGAACATTGTGAGAAAAGTATTTTTGAATGTAAATTGCATATTGTTAGGATTGTTGAAGCTCAATTTGAACAACCGAAAAAAGTACAATAGGGGTGAATTTGCAAAAATTGTTTAGGGAGTAAGGAGAAAGAAAAAATAGATAATTTTGCACAATGATTTATAGTGGGTCGACTTCTCAACTAAGTCTACATCCACTACCTAAGCTCCTCACTTAGGATTTTCCAACAAATACACTAATGTGTTTTTTCTTTTTCACGGACAAAGAGATAACATTTACAAAACTCCCTAGCTTTTCAAAGGCTCGGCTAGAACCACAACTCTTTTACAAGGAAAAAGATGTAAACAAAGAAAACCTCTAAAAATGAAGGTGTTTACAAAATAAACCTCACAGAAACACAAATATTTACAAGAAAATAGAAATAGAGTGAAAAGTTCTTCTCTTGTGTTTGATTGCTTGAATAAGTGTTCTAAACCTTATTCAAGTGTCTTGAACTTGTATTTATGTGTTGGAATGTGTTTGTGGCCGTTTCTAGCCGTTGAGGATGTTTTCTCTGTAAAAATAAAACTGCCAGTACAGAGGGTATCAGTACCCCTATAGGGAGTATTGGTACCACCTTTGTAATATTTAAATAAAACTAGTTGTTGGGCCTGCGGTATCGATACCATTTTTGCATTCTGGAATTTTGAGCAAGCTGGTAGTATCGATACTACCTTGAGAGTATCAATACTCCTCTTACCTAGGGTATCGGTACCACATGAACATTATCGATATTGTAAGGACAGTATCGGTTACTTTTTACGTGAAAATCAGTTTTGTGCTCAAATTCACCTTTAATGGACTTTGAATTATTTTTTAAAATTTTGAAAACTTTGAATAAATTCAATTCAAGTCCAAAAACATTTTGTCTTAATTTGTTATATTAAAATATTATAAAACATGGTTAAACAATCTCCCCTTTTTGATATAACAAAACATTTGAAAAATTATTTTTGGCAAAACTTCCCCTTAATAAAACATTTAATGAAAAAGAAAAAAAATTGGAAAAATGTTAAAAGCTCTCATTTTTCATTGAAAATTTGAATTTTTCAAACCATATTTTTCTCCCTTTTTGTTATATAAAAAATAATTCAACTTTAAAGTTTAAAAATAACATTGGAGGGTAAGTGGTAAACATTAAAAGCATTTGAAAAATCAAAGCTCCCCTAAAAAATAACATTCCAAACAAAAAAATTGACTTTAAAAGTTTGACACTTAAACAAAATTGAATTTCAACAAAGAATAACAAATATATCAGTATCGCATTAAATTCAATATATCCAAGTCTAATAAACTTTATGCAACACCAATTGTTGAAATTAAGTGTATGTGCATAAAGTTATCTAAAAATGTTATGCATTTGAAGAATTTGATATCAATTGTTAGAGATATATCATTTGCAATTACTTACATGCATTAAAATTTAAATTTAGGTCAAAAATTTAAAATTTATAAAATCAAAACATTTGAAAAGTTGATATCAATTGTTAGAGAAATATCTTTTGCATTAAAAATCAATTTTGACCCAAATTCATTATGATGAACTAAAAATTATGAAAAATCAAGTTTTAAAATGTTCATCATAACATATTTTCAACATACATGAGATGAAAAACAATGCACAAGCATTTCATATAAAAAACTCATGCATGCTTAAAACAAATAGGCAACCAAATAAAAAAAAAACAATAACATTAAGCTTAGAGGTTACCCATTCCTTTTCAAGTGTGGCTAGATCATTTGAATATCTTCATTTTCATCACCATTGCTCTCACACACCTACAAGAGACATTCATTTGGATTTTGTATCCAAATTGCTTTGGATCATTGGATGTTAGTTTCGATGCCCCTTGTTACTTTAGGAACACATACTTGTCTAATTTTAAAAGATTTTATTTTCTTTATAGGACAAGCGTGTAATACCCTAATTTTGTCCGGGCTTTTTAAATCCATTTGATGATGCCCGATAATTAATTTGGAAGTAATCGTGCTCAGATGAAGAATCAATTCAAACGACGAAGCTTGAAAGTTTACGTTTGGAAGCTTTAGGTGCTCAATTGGGATTAGTCGTATATGGAAATCGAGACACATATTGAAGTTCAATACAAATTAAGTGTCTAAAGTCCATTTACATATTTGAAGCCCAATTACA